CCGGGCCTGCCAAGGCTGGAGCGCTCAGCGCGCACATGCCCCTCGTGGTGTTCCTGGTGTTCTCGGTGCGCAGCCCCTCGTGGGTGCTCAACTTCCTGCTGCAGCGACGCACAGAGCAGGGCCGCGGCTGTGGCTTCGTGTTCGGGGCGACCTGCTGCTTCCGAGTGTTCCTGGGCTGCGCCTTCTTCTCCTTCCTGAGTGGCCGCACCAAGCGCAGAGGCAGAGGCCGAGGGCGCTCCCGGGCCAGGGGCACCGGGCGCCGGGGGCGCGACGAGCGGCTCATCTAGTCAGACCCCCCCACCCCCCCACCATCATCATCATCCACATCGACCACCACCACCACCACCACGACCACCAACCACCACACCACACCACCACCTTCCACCTCCACCACCATTGCTGTGTAGTGTGGATCTTTATTAGTGCTTGTGTGTGGACACATTTTCCTTTTCGGTTGCTCTGTCCTGTGCTTCGTGCTTTCCTAGCTTTTCTGCACACTCCCTGCTTTCTGGCTCTCTCAGTGTCTCTCTCTCTCTCTCTCCTTTTCGAAATTTTCCTAAGACCGGGCCCGCGCTCCCTCCCTTTCCGCCCACCCCGGCCCCTTGGCGGCGCCCGCCCGCCCTGCTGCAGGAGGAGGGGGATCCGGGCCGCCCGGCCCGGGGGTGGAGCGCTGGCATCGTGTGAGGGGTCGTCACCACCGCGGGGCCGCCCCCTCTCCCCCCGCCGCACGGCCAGGCCCCGGCCCCAAGCCGCGGGTGGGGCGAGGAGGCGACCCCCCTGTGCATCCCGGCCCGGGCTAGACTTGGGTGCAGGGACCCCTGCCCGGCCTCCGGGCACCGCCTCCCTGCGCCCGCGCCCGCCCTCCTAGCCGCGGCCCTCCTCCTCCTCCTCCTCTTTCCACCCCCCTCGCCGCCGTCGCCTCCGCCTCCCCCCGCTCCCCCCGCCCGCCGTGGCGCTTTTGGGTCGGGGCGTCGGGCCCGGGCCGAGGCAATAAGAGCGGCGGCGGCGGCGGCGGCGGCAGCAGCTCCCGCGGCTCCTGCTCTGCTCCGCCTCGGCCCCGGAGCGAGGAGCCGAGAGCTGCGCGCTTGCCTGAGTCCGAGCCGCCACCCTCCCCTTGTTCCCCGCTTTCCCGGCCCGCCTGAGGCCGCCCGCCCCGTCCCCGCCGCCCCGCAGCCCGGCCGCGCCCCGCCGCCGCCATGGGCTGTCTCGGTAACAGTAAGACCGAGGACCAGCGCAACGAGGAGAAGGCGCAGCGCGAGGCCAACAAAAAGATCGAGAAGCAGCTGCAGAAGGACAAGCAGGTCTACCGGGCCACGCACCGCCTGCTGCTGCTGGGTAAGGGCGGGGCGGGGGGCGCCGGCCCGGCCTGGGAGCCCCTCGGGGCACCCGCAAGGCCGCGCGCGCCGAGCCCGCCCCTCGCCCTGGCGCTCTGGCGCTCTCTCCCCGGCCCTTTGGCCCACTGGGCCCTGTGCGTGCGGGGGGCGAGGCCGTCAGGGGGACCCCTGGGCGAAATTCGGCCGGGCGGGGGCTGCAAACAGGGCGTGGGTCCCCCTCGCTCAGTCTCGTCCCCTTAGCTGTCCGCACCCCCCCCTGGCTCCGTGTCTGCTCGAGGCCTACACGGTGCCAGGGGCCGGGGTGCGTGTCGGGAGGGGGAGGGGAGGCTCACGGGGCCCCTCTGACTGCGACAGAGTAGGGCTGGGGACAGGAAACGGGCTGGCGGGCCCAGGGAGCGGGACCCGCCTCACTGGGGAGTGCGATTTGTTGGGAGGGGGCCCAAAGAGAGGCAAGGGCAACAGGGGGGACTCGGGGGCCTCGGCCTGGGAGGCTCTGGTGAGGGAAGTGACCGCCGGGGTGGGGGGGCGGGTGACATCAGCCCCTCGGAAAGGACAGGGCGGTAAAGGTGGTGCAGAGGGGGGAGGGGGCGCAGGCTAGTCGTGGCGCCGAAGTGGGGGGGGGTTAGGGAGGAGGGAGCGTGGCGGACTCTGGGCGCGACTCGGGGCGATTCGGGCAGGACCGACTTTGCGCGGAGCAGACGTGTCCTGGGCCAGGCCAGGCCGTGGAAGGAAGAGAAGGAGAATCAAATAAATAAAATAAGACCAAAAAATAAAAAATAAAAACACAGTACGCAAAGTGCTCAGTGAAGCCAAATGACACGTCATATTACACTGTGACCTTTTTCCCCCCCTTCTAGACTTGCAGGCTTTTTGAAAAGCAGAGAAGAGCACTAAATGGTAGCAGCTGCCCCCCCCCCCAGCTGTGCCCTGACCCGTGCAACAAACAATTAACACTCATTTTCCTGTTAGTCGGCCTCCTTGAGAGTGAAAACACGAAAGTGAAAAATAAAATAACGTAATTTTAAAAGACTCATAAATAAGACAAAACTGGAAAATGACATTTGTCTGTAAATGGCTTCTTAGTTTCGAAATGGCGTTTTTAAAATTTTTGTCCTTTTCAAGGTGGGAGGGGGGAATAAGCGCCCTGGGAAGACTTTCCTGGGTGGAACCTAATGGAAAGACATTAATTAGTTGTTTATCAAGTGGCATTTGGTTGTTTGATTTTTCTTCTCTTTTTTCACTGCGTCTTTTCCTCCCTGGCAAAAAAGAAAGGAAGGGGGGGGGTGTCCCCAAACTAAAGATTGTCTCCCTTTTTTCTTTTAAGGTGCTGGGTGGGGGGCAACAAAGGCACACACACACACACACACACACTCACGCAAAATTGTCAAAATGACCACTAACACATTACACAGCATTAATTAGAGTGGAAGCTTTCCACTTCTTGGTATTTGGGATATCTGAATAAATTTGTGAATTTTCTGGGAGCATGGTCACATTTCAAAGAAGTAGTTTTAGTTATCAAAAATAAAATGTAGAAGGCTGTTTTCATTCGTGGTGGCGTTCGGTTTGATCTTTTTGGATGGGGGCAAGTCTTTGTTCTCGCTGGGCCAGATTTAGTAAAGCAGAAAATTATTAGCAAGTGAAAATAATTCTCTTTGGTGTTGGTGCATTTGCAATTTTAGTAATTAGAGGATATAAAAGTGGAATCTAAAACTTCTAAAGGCATAATTATGCTGTAAATATTAATATGCCACACTTTGATTTCAGAGTACACACCTGGAAAAGTCTAGAATCTTCTGTATGGTGCATTCTTGCTTATGTGATTTAACTCCAGGATGATGTTAATGACACATTAATTTTCTAACGCTTTTTTTTTGTGTCTTTACAGTGATTTCAAGTGACCCCACTTATTTGAAACTATTGTTCTGAGCCCACCCTGCCTCTTCTCAAGTCTCCTAGTCTACATGGCTGCATTGTGCCACAATTAATTAATGACCTTTGGCATAGAAATCTGTTGCCCTGGCCATTAGCAACATTTTGCATTTCTTAAAATGAAATAATTCTCCCCACAAAGGAAACCTAATTCCCCACTCCCTTTTTCTTTAGCCCATTTTAACTTTTGCCATGTAAATTAAGTAAATTACAGAACCACAAAAATCCCTCACAGTTATTTTAAGCCCAATTTTCTCTTCTCACTAACGTGGAAACTGAGGCACGGGTCTAATTCTGCTTATAAGAAAAATAGTTGTCACAATTTTTGACATTTCTAAGATTAGAATACTGAGGATCCTGACTAGTTCTCTGTGTTCCCTTCATGGAAACCTCCCTCTAGTGCCTTTTATATTTAATTTATGAGAATTTTGTTCGTTAGGATGGTGTTTGCTTTGAAATCAATGCTTCTGTGGAAACCAATTTTAACTTTTACAGATATTGATTATAGCCTTGAGGAAAGGTAAAGGGGTGGGGAGCTTTGTTATCTGGGTAACAAAACAAAACCAATATAATTAAAAAGAAAAAGATTTTTTAAAAACATCGAGATGCATTTGGGAGGAGGGGGAAACCATTCACATAGGGAATACTGGTTGCAAAAAAAATTCAGAATAGCTATCATCCCTCTAACTTGATGGAAATGGGGCGGGGGTCTATAAAATGTTACTTTTAAAAAGCAAACAAAAGGTGATTTCAAATGGAGGGGGGTGCTCAGTGGAGGGTGGCGCTCCTTTTTACTCCTTTAGTTGGGGAAAAGTCTAGAATCCTCCAGTTTAGGGGTTTCCAGGAATATTTGTGCATATAATTAAAGTCATCCTTTTTGAAAAATTCTTGACTGTTGATGTTGCATGTTGCCTGATGCTAATAAGGTCTCAAGTGCCATGTTTGATATTAAACTGTGTGTTTTTTGTGTTTTGTTTGTTTGTTTTTGCTTTTATTTTTATTTTTATTTTTGCTTTTCTCCCCCTGCTGCTGACAGATAATTGATGGTCTTCCATTTCCCTCAGCAAGTTGTATCCAGAAAAAAAGTATCTCTAGAAAGATTCCTTCTGAAGGGAAAGGGAGTGAATAAGTGAATACAATGTAGCAGTGCTTTTAGGGGTGGACTTGAAGCATGCTAGAGAGCCCCTGCTGTGGTGTTGGGAGGGCAGTGCTGCAGGGGGACGTGATGTGGGGGAGACTGCAGTGTCTAGGCATTGTCTGCCAGTCCTGAGTATTTTAACCATAAAACATTCAACAAACAGGAAATCAGGGGGCTGCTGCGTTTCTGTGTGCCTTTGACCACATTTCAATATTAAGTTCACAGTTTTGACTTACATTTTTCACTCCTCCAATGACAATTACGTCATTCCTTCATCTCATGATTTTTAAAACCCAAAGAGAAAACAAAATAAAACAACAGCAAAACTTAAAGAAAAAAAAAAGAAAGAAAGAAAAGAAAAGCTATCTAAAGCCAGCAGAGCCCTTAATTCTTGCTTGTGAACTCTATGGTGAGATACTTCAGGTAGACACTAAGTTGGACATGTCTTTGTTTCTCACTGCGTCGTCACATCAAGTGAAATGGCAGTTGTGTCCCTGTGTGTCTGTTGTGTGCTGCTTTGCTGCTTCCCCAGGCCATCATCCAGGTGATGTGTGACAAGCCTCTGTCTTAACCCAAGCCCTCACTTTACTTCTCAGGTGCTGGAGAGTCTGGCAAGAGCACCATTGTGAAGCAGATGCGGATCCTGCATGTTAATGGTTTTAACGGAGAGTAAGTGTCAGATCCACGCAGGGCGCCGCCGCCACGCAGGCGCGGCGAGGGCAGAGTCCCTGCCCGTAGGAGTCGGCAGGACTTTTGACAGCGTGTGTATACATACTAACCTCTAGGAAGCACAGCTGCTATTTGCCACTAATTATTTTTTTCTAATTTGCATAGTAGACAGCCCAGGAAAGAGCTGATGGGTACACTCCCACCCTCTTCTCAACCTTTGGTGCAACAAATAGGAGTAACTGTAAAAGCACCGGTGTCGGCCCAAAGCGGCCCCTCGAGCTGGAAAATGGTGCCTGGTTGCAGAGGACAGTGAACAGCACTTGGCCGGGTGACAGCGTCTCTGAGGCTAGGTCCTCTGCCGCAGCCTCGCCTGCTGCAGTGCGGCTCCAATATGGCCGACAGGGCCTTGGCCACCCCTTGCCCAGCCAGAGCTGGCCAGCACAGGAGGTCCCCACCCACCACCCTTCGGGTTTCACTGGAGTAAACTGGTGTCGGCTTTTCTAGGATCAGGAAACATCATTTCAGTTACATTCTCACTTACAAGTTGGAATCCATGGCCTCACTGCCGGCAAGCTTCAAGCTTCTGCTCTCCTTGCCCCCGTAGAATTAATATGTTAGGCAAATAATCGTTTCTCTAATTAAAAAAAGGAAAATTCCTACCTAAACAATTGAAAAGAGTGTGAAAATGATGGAAAGGCAGGGAGCTAGCTACTTCTGGCCAGTCCCGGGGGCGTTTTGCCTTTGAAATGACCTTCCTGGTTTAAGACAATATGGCGATACAATACTGCAGTGAGAATAAAGATTTTTCTTAAAAAGAGAGAGACCCATACGAGGCAAATATGGGTTCCTGCTTTCCATGAAGAAGGCAAACTGAGGAAACACTCAATAAATTAAGGAATTTGCCTTTTCTGCTCGGCCTCCATTGTTCTCGGTGATGACGTGAGACAGGTTAAGCTTGCTCCCTTGGGCTACTCGAGATGAAAAGCACCGGTAGGCACTAGTTTGCAATTACTAGCTAGTTAACACTCGGGCACTAGTTTGCAATTCTAGCAAGTTAACACTCCCACCCCCTTTCTTCACCCCCATTCAGTTGGAAATCTGTCCACTCCAGGGAGGGGCACCTGCTTCTGTCCCCTACCACCCACCAAGTGCAGGGGAAACAAAATTGAACAGCACCGTTCAGGATGCCACAGGCTGCTCTTCATGGAAACTTCTAGAATTTGTTAGATTGACTAACCGGGTTAGAAAAAGATGACATCACCGATGCGAAGGGTTTGGGGTCATGTGCTCCTTAAATTATAGCCCTAAATTCAAAGATTATTAGTTAATATTCAGGAGGGAGGGGCTAGCTCACTAATTTTAGGATTGACGCAATGACTACTATGCACCTATAAACTATTAAGTAAGTCATTGTCACCCAAGAAACCAGTTCTGGAATTCTTAATTCCTGATATGCCCTCCTCAAAAAGCCTAACCAAGGAGATTGGCACCTGTCCATCAACAAAAAGAATATGAAAACACCCCACCCCTGATGTGAGGGATTCTTCAATATGAGGCTAGTTAAGCAAACATAATCTGGCCATGAACCTCAAAATATTTCATCAAAAATATCTGGTCGTGGCTAGCATTTTAGAAGATGCAGTAGCCACTGTTTAAGTTGAATCAGATGGAAGCAATGTCATTCTTATCAAGTTTTAATACTTTACAAATTTCCCTAAAATATTATTTTTTTAAAGAACCAATTCTCCTTAAATGTTAATGCAGCTGAGGGTTCTAAACCAGAACTTCTCTTTTCTATTTTCTCTCTGAAAAGAGGAAGAGACATTCCCAGTTTGCCTTCTTTGTGGATATCCAAGATGATAAATTTAGCCTGTGAAAGTGATATTCGGGGCCTCCATGAGGGGCTGGCTTCACTATTTTGTCCTGGGCCAGCTAAGCCTCAAAGGTTCTCTCACTGTGGTATTGCATTCAATGCTGTCCCATCTTGACTAGAAATTCCTATATGGTGGTCTCAACACCACACGCTCTTCTTGGACTGAGCTATTAAATACGCTTTAACTATGGCCTGCCTGCCATTACATTTTTAAAGAGTATAGCGTAATATTAATTTGACCTTCAGAAATACAGAGGTCAGATGTAGATTTTCCTAACTCAGAGCTAACTTCCTGAAGTTTAATGCCAGAAAGAATTAACACTGGTTGAGCTAATCGATTACAAAGGTGAGTGTTAATGTCCCATACGTAGCTCCCACCACTACGGAAAGGTGATTAATTTTGTACCAGGAAATCAGGAACAGGAATGTCCCATTTGTGCTTTTGTGGGCATGGAGAAGATCTGCGGCTAGCAAGGGTCAGGAGCCTTCTGAAATGCCATATTCTCAAGAGTTCAGTACAAGGCACTGCCTCGGCTCCCTGGTGCATGTGCATTTAGTGAAAGCAGAGGAAAATAATTACCCGTCCCTCCTGTCCCCAGCCTGAGTCTCTTGAGGGCCCTTCTAATGCAGCAGCGAGGAAGGTGTGGAGCACTTCCCCTACGGCCTACAGTCTCAGTAGACGTTCCCATTTAGTCAGGAAAGCGACCTAAGAAGGAACCGGGAGGATGGTGCACAGGACTGTCAGGTGGCTCTTACCTGGTTATTTAGGGATGCAGAGGCTGTGTGGGGTTTGTGTGGAACTGCAGTGCCTTGCAGATAGGTGAGCTTTCAATCTCTCTTTACAAGGGGCGGCGAAGAGGACCCGCAGGCTGCAAGGAGCAACAGCGATGGGTAGGCACATTCCAAACCAGAAAACTCTTCTAACAAACAAAACAAACATGAAGATCCTAGTGGGGAAACTGAGGACTAGACTGGGGAACAGAACAGAAATCATCTCAGGGCCATCAGCCATCTTGGTGTGCATTTGCAAATGACATGTAAACAAGTAAAGTGCAAGACAGAAAGTGTTTTGGCCCCAAGGATAACTAGATACAGCTGGGGGAGTCGGCCATCGCAGCCTCGGAGGAAAGTGTAAGATTTTGAGACTCGATGCTTTCCATATGGTCTTTATTTCCTCCGGTTCTCTATTTAAATCATCAAATTCTGTCCACTCGGTGGTCAGCCTGACCTTAAAATTTTAGTGTTCTTTGGGGAAAAAAAAATTCCTCAATTAAAAATATTCATTGCTACCTAGTTTTTTTATCTTGGGGGGAAAATATATGCCTAACGCCATGTCACTGCGGCAGGCCACCGTGACAACTATCTTGACACCTGGCCATAAAAAATCATTTAAAAATTTTTTAAATTTTAATGCAAGGCACTTTACATTAACTAATGAACAAGAGCATTTGTGACGGCACCCCACACATTGTCATTGTTTATTATTTTGCTTTCTCATCTCCACAACCATCTCATGCCTGCACACACACGCACACGCATGCCAGGCATCCATCCGGCTCCATTCGGTCACTCAGCATGCAGAACGGAGCGGCTTTTCTCATGTCAATTCATAGAACAGCTTCTAGTCTAGGACATCGAAAAGAAATGGCTTCTGAGACCGGGCACGGGGGGGTCAAAGGACACGGGGGTCGGGAACAAAGTGACTGACACGTGTTTGTTCATCTGTTTCTTTTAGAATATATTACCCCTACTAGATGATGGCCACAGTTCTCCATCTTCTTCGCTATGTCCTCTCCCAACTATCCCAATTTGCATGCTGAACTGCCCGGTCTTAGGAAACTAATAAGAATACTATTCTGTTGTCTGGGGGGAGGGGGTGGGGTCCCTACCTATTACCTAACCTTTAGATATAAGTGAAAACAGAAAGATGAAATGAAATCCTTAATTGGCAACAGTGTAGTAGAACAGCAATCAGAAAAGGCATCGATAGTTTGAGTATCTGCTGTACCAAAAGTTGGCATCTGAGGAATGTGGCAAGCCCCTACTGAGAGAGCCTACTACGTATTGTGTCGTGCTCAGCCTTTCAACCCTACTAATACCTTACCTGCACGCCTTTCCTCCTATGACTCTACTCTACAAGTAAAAATCAGTATTAACATTCCTGATAAATAAAATTCTCTGCATGTCTCAGCAATCCCTGTATCTTGAGTCTGTCTTCTGTCTCCTCTTTTGTCTGTCTTCTCCCACAAGCACAAAGATAGGGTATAGAAGTGGGGGACGGGGACCACACAGCCTTCCCCTACCACTTAACAGAAGGGAGGGGGCAGGACTTACTAAAAATGCTAACCCCACTAATCTATCTGCCTTACACTTTTCTGGGGGGGGGTGAGGATGTGTCGGGGGAGCTGCATTCTGGGGGATGGGGTGGGGGTGTGGAGAGGGGAACACCATCCTATAGAGACCTCCAGCCCCAACTTTCTAGTCAGTCGGAGCCCTGGAACTGGCACATGTAGTTTAGAGACATCTAAAGGATTTTCTCTAAATTTCACAATCAATGTTAAATTCATTAAGCAGTATTACAAAGGAGGGTAAACCTGCCAGCCCCCGTTATGACGGCTCCATCTACATAGTAATCTCTTCAATGGAGAGGTTTTGTTTTAGTACTACACACCAGAATTAGATTGTAGATTTTCTATTTTAGCTGTTTTATACTGGATACACTCCCACACCTATTCACATACGTAGATGAATACTGAACACGTTCTCAGAATATCTGTATTTTAAGACTGGAAGCTTTCCAATTATCATACTACTACTTAGAAAAAAATATCAAACTGAATGAGGAATCTTCCCTGGGGAAATGCTTCCTTCTACCTGTAGGTTGATTGGAGTAGTTAATACCCAGATAACCTCATTTTTTCTGTTGTGGCGCCTTTAAACCAGAGATTTGGGGTTCTCAGTACCAATGGCTGGAAACCCTATTTTTTTTAAAGACTGGGAGTAGATTTGTCCCAGGGCAGGATAGCGGAGGCTCACTGTGAACTCTAAATTGGAGTATTGGGGGCATCCAACACGTGCTTTTAGTCTGACACCTACATAACTGGTCTCAGAGTCTGACACCAGGGCTGGGACTGCGGCGCTCCCCCCCACCTAAGAGAACCAGCCCCTCCGAGGGGTGAAGACCCCATGCCTTTAAATACGGGGTGGCAGAAGTTTAAGAGTCTGAGGGCCCCAGGCAGCTTTAGGGTGTACACAACTCCCACATCCCAAGTGTTTGCCCCTCCCCCAAGCCTACGTGCCTCCTCCACCGTAGCCCCAGGACAACTGCAGCCCCAGGACAACCACTCCAGCCTGCAGTGGCCACGAGGCCTTAGGGCTTCCTCCTGTCTCCTTTTCCTGGTCTCCAGGTGGTGGGTTTGGAGAGAGAGGCAGCTTGCCCTCCTCCTGTGGGCGTGGGGTTCTGATCTCCTACTGTCAAGGCCATGTCAAAATCCTGGTACCTCAGCCCCTCCCTCCTGCTGATGAGAGAACATCCCCAACCCCTAAACCTTGCAGGCCCTTACCTACTGTGGAAGATCAATGTCTAGGAGCCACTTAAGAAATGAACCCCCATAAAAGTATGTAGTGAGATCATTCAGAACACAGAGCCTACTCCCCAAATGCATAAGCCTACACAGAAAGAAGAAAACCCTATTCAAATATCACCTGTTACAACTCTTTGTGAAAGAATGGGCTCTTTGGGTGTGAGCCTATTGGTGGTCTTGCACATGGCCCGCATAGCCCCACCCTGTTGG